ATAAAGCTAAATAAAATATTAACATTTTCATACAAATATTTATTTTCATTAATCTAATAATAATCTTAATTCGTTTCTTATGCGAATGCTATTGATTAATGTTACACATTCTGAAAGACGTTCGCATTGTAAAGATGATAAGGTGCTGTTAATCAGATCATACTAAGCTGTTAAACACACATAACAGTGGTGTACTTAGTTGGTTTTATCGTGGGTATTTGCACTGGGACAATAACTCCTACTGGGAGCATCCCAGGGTAAAATTGATCTGTACTCACACGCTTGTATATCCGCTGGACGTCTTCCATCACCTGGTTTAAACGGCCAACGAGATGCGTGCTGTACACTTCCGAAAGAGCCGCGTGGTCTTGGCTCAATGACTTCGTCTCCTTGATAAGTTGTTGCCAGCAAGCGTAGCTGGAGAATAACGGCCAGTGTTCTCGCCTAAAAATTGCTCGAGTTTACTAGTAGATCGAAACAACGCTAAATTCGCGCCATTCCATGCGATATCAGAGAGAAACACTTGAAAATTATAATATCAAGAAATACTTGAAAATATTTGAAAATCTATAATATCTAAAAATACTTGAAATATTTATAATATAAAAAACTACTTGAAAATATTTTTAACTCTACGTATATATTAAATTATGAAAATATCAGTATCGACCCTACAGGCTGAAGGGATACACTGAAAGAAACAAAGAAATGACAGAATGTTACACAAACTCGACTATTTTAAATAACGTTTTAATTTTGTTATAATTTCAAAGAAGTTCAGAAGAAAACTGTACAATGAAATGTGATATTAAAGTTAGAACTAAATAAAACATGTAACAATACTATGCAATTTCAAGAATTGATAGAAAATTGAAAATAATTAGCTTTGTAGCAATTAAGAAGATATAACCGTTTAAAATTAAAAGACCGTTTATATCATGTATTTTCATTGATATCATTTTAAAAGCTTTAAACAAGTTCAATCTAAAAAGTCGAGAAATTTAAGAAGTTTTAACATTCTGAACAAAACGATTCATGTAACTCGTCAGCTCAAAGCTTTGAACATACTTTTCTCAGAACCACTTTTATTTTTACGATAGGCATGAAAATTTTAACTACGTCTGACTGATTTACTTTAACTTCTGCAAGCCTTTCTTAAAATTCTTTAAAAAAATTCTTTCAGAAAGATATACTTTTTTACGGTACACATTTCATTTAAAACACTATACCTTTTTACTTTTTCAAAATATTGGAAAATGTATAGTATAAGATAATTATTAACATACTTTGTAAAAATTAATCTGACATTAAAAATCTTTACAAATACACATGCAGTTTTTGAAACAAAAATTTAATCAGACATAAACTTTTCACTTAAATACTTCATAATGTGATTATGAATTATGGATATATATATATATATATATACATATAAATACATGTTTATTAAATCAAATTTCCTTACGTTGTAAACAAATTCAAGATTTTTTCTATTTCCTGAAACCTCAAACGATCATAAGTGACAATAGCAATACTCAAAATCTTCAAATTATTATATCATTACTTCGTCTTTTAATGAAAGAGTTTAATATATTACATTTCTGTTGTTTTCTAATTTATATATTTCATTAAATGTATAATATTACTGTACAAATGTACGAAATGTCAGAATATTTTTAAGCATCAGTGTGCACCGAAGCTTTTTTCTTTCCAGCAGCCTGTAGAGTTTCCAACCACGGTTTCGAAAAAAACTGAATATATACTTCTGCTTTTGCTCTTTATGCCTCAGCTGTATACTTCTGGCCATCTTGTCGAGAGACTTGCTGTAATCGAGCTCGAGCTCGGCTCTCTTTCGAAAAAAATCTTGAAGCTCCGCGACGAGGGCGACTTGTGCCTCCATCCTGACGTCGAGACATCTCAGCTGTTCGTTCAGCTGCAGCCGTATGTCTGAAAAGAAGAAAAGAAAACAATGACAAGATGAGAACACGAACACCCCGCCTTACGGTCGGTTTTCGATGATCGATCGTATGATTCATTGCTCAGCGTTACGGACACGTTTGCCTGTCACAAGAAAAAGAGAAAAAAGAGTGAATTGCACTTCTGCGGGTAATTTTACGCCTCTCTACGTCCTCGAAAATACTTTAGGAACGATCAGCTGCAGTTCGATGCAACTGGGAATAACTTCGTGCTCATTTACACTTATGCAATTTTAAAACCGTTGCAATGTCCAAATTCTCGGTAAATGTGATAAAATAATTTTTATCAATTATTACGATAAAGTAAATATAAACATAGAATAAAATTCTTTTCCTTCCCTAACAACTGATTAACGGCCAAGTAATTCTATCAAGCGTAAATATGAAAGAAATCATTGTTAATTCGATCAAGTTTCCCTGAGTAGCAGAAATATATTTTTATGTGCTTGCAAGCTTTTCGAATCTCTCTATAAAAATCATGAATGTAAGTGAAGATTCACAGTCTAGTTACCGAGTGATATAAGCCCCGATTTTTCATTTGCTTTCATCCCGCACCCCACTCCCAAACTTTCTTTATTCTGTCCATAGGAATAGAATTCAAGTTAGCGAGTTGACTCGTATCCTTCGCAGGACGTGTATCGATTTTCCATACTTCCGTCGCGTGATTCATCCGTTGAGCAAAGAAGCGAGATTTTCGAGCTCTTATGGGGGTGAAACGCACGCACGTATCATGCCACGTACGCCTAATATTATAGCCCGCGCGCCGTATGCTCGAACCCGTAACAAGGTAATAAACATGTGAATGCAGTTCGTTGCACGCGGAACGCACCGTTTTTCCCCGTATTTTAAATTTGAACCGACACAAGAATTCTCCATTTTTAAACTTCAGATTTTTATAGACTTACAGCGATCGCAAATTTTTCAAATGCAACAAAACGTTTGCATCACTGAGAAAGTAATAATTTATACAAAAACTTCTGAATTGAATTGAAATTGTCTGTTGAATTGGTTTAACAAACGTCATAGAAACTCATTAATTAGTTAAACTTCAAATTACATTCCTAAAGTTACAGAAATCGTAAGTACTACTTTTCTCAACTTGCATTGATTCCAACTGATATGTACAATAACATTAATGAATATCTTAATTCATCACGATATCCCCAATCCTCTAATCCCAAACATCTGCAATCAAATATCCATTTCTTTGAAAACGATATAACAAACTAATCAATATATTTACCCCCAAGCTCAGAAATGACTGCAACAAATCACGCATTAAATTACGAGTCACCAAACAAACACAGAAGAAAGGGGTAACCGAAGAAGAAAAAAAAGAACCGTCACGTGCGTATTAGCCTCCGGCGAACTCGTTAAAAAAAGCCCGTTCGATTTTCTAAATGAATAATCCCTGTTTCTTTTTCCTATTACGGTTCGACACACACCCTGCACCGAAAACGTGTTAGAACCGGCACGGTGCGTTCCGGGTTCCAGAGAACGTCCCCTATGAAAATATCGATGGGTGGTCGGGGATGAACCGAGACATGGCCGCGCCGCCATTTACCTTTTGTCAAAGCTTCCCATTCTTGGCGTCCGGCGAGCTTGAACATTTTTCTGCGTTATCCGTCAAGTTCCGTCGATATTTTCTCTTTCTCTTTCTCTTTCTTTTTTTCTCTCTCTCTCTCCCTCTCTCTATCTCCGTCGACGTCGGTAATCCTCGTGCACCGATATCTATCTCTCTTTCTCTCTTTCACTCTCCGTTTCCGTCGCGCGTTTTCCGTCACCCGCGAAACACACAACTTTTTCTCTCGTTGCGCGTTGAATAGCCGCGGTCACCACAATTCTCCGTATTTCTTTTTCTTTTTTTTTCGTTTATTATTGTTTCATTCACGTGTCCCGCGTGTCTTTATCAACAGACGCGCGTTAATCCCATTTCAACGAAACCTCTGTGTCGTTTTCCCGCTATCTTTGATAGCGTAGGATTGTCCCCGTCTGGCTCGATCACTTCAGAAGATTCGCATCTAAATTTCATTGGTAAAGGCATCATGGTCTTTTTTTCCCACGATTTCGTGATTTCACGGTTTCGTGGTTTCGGATGTTACCGTGACGTGAACCGCTGGTTGCGTGGATGCAACGATACGATGCAACGATGCGTTTGAAGGATGACGTCGACCGAGGTCGATGAAAAACGAGAGAAGAAAGTAATCTAATCGCGGGCCCGCGATCGGATCGCGCCGCGCGATGAGACGCGGATATAGTTTGCGCCGTTGATCCCTTGGTCGAGGAATAATGGTAACGTGATGCCGGGACAATGGTCAGTGATAAATATTGATTGCGCTCGTGTACTTCGAGGAGGTAAGGAAAGGAACGGTATGTTATCGGGGATCTATGGCGGCGAACGTATAAATTGGAAAGTTTTTTTGCGCGATCGTTTGTCTTGTGTGAATATAAGTCGAATGCTTGATGCTTAGAAAGAGTGGTCGATAATGGATAAAAATAAAAGTATATCGAAAACATGAAATGCAATTTTCCTCATTAAATGTTTTCTTTTGGAGAAGATTTAGGTTAACTTGCGAGGCACTGCGCATGCATTTAGTTGACTTGATTCGATACGGATGGTATAATTTGATGGAAAGTTCGTACATGTGGGATTAGTAAAATTGACGGTGGAAAGTTTTGTTTGACTGAATTTCTTTAAATGATAGTCTCATGTGGGCAGCCTGAATAATCAATGTATGCGTAGTTGACCTCTACTTTAGGCTACCCGAATATTTACAAAACCTTACAGTATTAATCGACATGTTTAAAAATAATAAATAATAATAAGGAATAAATATTAACACATTTTCTTGTTAAAAAAATCGCGAACAAATTGTTATTTCTTTCAACTATTTATCTTATATTAAGTAACGCAAAAGCAACTTCAATTGTAGCTGCGGGATTACTTCTTCTGATACGACATTCGATAAAAAAAATTTAGTTACGAGACCCGAAAAACAATTGTTACTGTGTGAATGATTGACACAATATGTATGAATGTTTGCATCACGGAGAAAAAAGTTCTGTTATATAAAACTTTAGTTTCACAGTCAATGCATAAAAGTGGCCTATTGCTAATAAACTACCCTTCATAGTGTAACGTTTTCTGCGTTCGATTGACTGATGGTGGCGGTATAAGGTACACAATCCCTCATAAGTTCTCGGACACTTGGTTGTTGCGAAGAAAATGTGGTTAGTTGGATTAGTTTAGCATTTAACCCTTTCGCTACAGCGAAACTGGCCAAGAAGTACTACCACTGCACCCTGAAAATTGAATTATCTGACAGAAAAATTGTGTTAGAGAAAAGCTATTCGTACTTACATGTCCTCATTAAAATTTCCTTAATTAAAACCCATTTTATTACCATATGTATTTACCGCCCAAAAGATTAAGAAATGTCTTGCTTTCTTATTCAGTAAACAATTACTTGCTAATAAGTTGAAGGTAACCATATACGAACAAAATCTGAAACTAAATATTAGTCTCAATATTTCAATGAAATTGTACAGCAAATTATGTCTGTAAAATTTTTTATTAAAAAAATGACAAAATTTAAAGAAATATTTTCGAACAATTTTTTAATAGTATAAATACTTTTAAATGATCCTTTGAGTAGAATATCTAAAGCTTATTTGAATGTTATTAAAAATAAGATACATTTTGAATAAGATAGATAACAAAAATAAAATTTTTATTAGACAAAAGTGGTGCTACAATGTACATAATGTGTTGTATCTATAATGTAGTAAACTAATACCTAAACGAAATGTTAAAAGGCCAAGTTATAAGCTGCTCGTTACAATGAAAAATTTGTGTATCAATATTTTGTTGAACTGTTTACCAAACTTTTGAACGGTAATGTACACGTAATAACAAGTGAACGTCGTTAGTGTACAATAATATTATATTGTAACAGTAGGCTTCGTGCACGGTTACGCTTAATGATTTCGTAGTGAAAGGTTTAATCTATCGTTGCTAACAATTAATTCATGCCTTTCAAGATTCTAATCTTGGATTGTGAATAAATTCACAAAATGTATCATGTATTGACCATGTATCGTTATTTAATTGAACAACGAAATGATTAAACTATTATATTACGTGACTGCAGATTTTTATATTTTTATCTTCGTAAATTAATAAACCGTACAAAATAAATTTCATTGGCATTCGTTAATTCCATTAAAAGTTATATTAAAAGTTACGACCCATCAAGAACCAATAAAAGCTGATAATTTTATTACGTTCTACTATTCAGTGGATTCTATACGAGTGCATAAAATCCGCAGTCTACTTCTTACCTTCATTTCTTTCAAACGGAAATTATTAATCTTATTTCTATTAAGAATGTAATACGCTGATCGACTATGCAAACAAGAGAAACGTGTCCCAAATTAAAAGAGAAATTATGAAAAGTAGAAGAACAGAAATCAAAATGAAACTAATTTATATATGTATTAAAAGAATTCGTCAACGCATTGCCATGTCTAATTGGAACGGTTATTTCTGAATAAGTCGAACATGTTTGTGAAAAAACATTAAGTTATTTACAACATACAATGAGGTTTGTGGTTGCCTACAACATTAAGAAGTCTCAGAAAATATTGCGAGTTTTAAGGTGTTTATCATTTGATTAACTCTTTCAAAAGAAAAGCTACTATATTGGTGGTGTTAAGTTTTAGTATATAAAATCTTCTTTGCTGATACTTTAAACTTCTTAGGAAGTAATTAATCATTTAAGATTAATTAATGAAAAATTGTTGGACTTTTAGAAAGTGCGTTTCTAACACACACTTTTAAAGGATTAACGAGAAAAAAATCCTTATTATGAAAGTAAATTCTATGTATAAACGACGTTAACTATTAAACGAAATGACGAATATAGTGCAATATTTTCTGGGATACCTTAACAGTATGCATTAACAAGAGTTAATATCTTTTTATGATCGACAATACTTCGCGAAATGAATTCAATCTTGTACTACATTTACTACGTAAGTGTCCGATGACTTATGAACGATAGTGTTGATATTCTACGATTTTCAATGGGTATGCTGAAGGTAACGTGGAAGGAGAAGGGAATACAGCCTTGTTCATTTTAATTGCCCTGAATATTTTCAGTATCTTTAATTAAAACAAAAAAGATTGAAATAACAATTTTGACTGATTTGGAGAGGAAGATTTTATAACTATAAAAATTGTTAATATATATGACACAAACAGTTTATGTTTGAAAAAGTTCTAGTATTCGTCACGATTATTATTATACTTTTATTATTATTGTAGTTTTATGGTATCGTCGCAGATACGTCAGTAAAGTTTTCCTCGTAAAAGTGAAATCAAACACGACCTAATTTCATCAATTTCAATTTACGCTTGTAATAATATAATAACCCGTGCTGACTAACAGTAATTTATTAAACTTCTTAAACATTAAATTGCTACAGAAGTTCAAGTAAAGCATGTCTTTCACAAATTTAATTTTCAAATTACCAGTTTATAAAACTCAGAATTTTATTTATTTACTTTTTAAATTATGCATCGTTCCTTACGAGTCTCATTATTCTAAGAGTTGTATTACCAATTTTTTTGCAAATACCATTGAAATCATTATTAAAAATAAGAACTCATTGTATTTTCATAACCTGTAAAGCAGCGTCGATAATTGCATTTAGATTGTGCAACTCATTGATAGATTGTATATGTGGTCGGATTTATATGCAAACGGAACTTATCTCCGTCTCCTAATACAGCATGTCTGGAAAGTAACGCAACAACTCTGAACGCGGGAAGAGATTTCAAAAAAAGAGATCTTTTGTTGTTCTAATCAGCAAGGCTGATCCAAATATTATAGACCTGAATGAAACCAGTCTGCCCATTACAGATGGTTTAGTAGAAACAGTGCATAATGTGCAGTGAGTTGCAAAATTCCGGGTAATCCACTTTATATGTGGATACCTTACGAAAGGTATGCATATCTTTAAATAGGTTATAACTGAGTAAGTATGTGAAAAATTACCTCAAACTGAATGAGGTTTGCGATACAATAGTCATTGAATCATAAAAAAATAGAAAATAATTTTTTGCAAAATTTCAAATGTGAGATAGAAACAGCACAAACCCGAAAACGAGAAAAATGAGAAACTATGAAATTGTAAGAAATTAAATAAAAAATGAGTATTTCTCATTTTTCGAGGTTCTTTAAAATATATAGTTTCGTTTAAATAATGTAATAAAAATTTACTATGTAAATATTTCAGTTTTCTTTCACAATTTTTTACGAAATGGTATGGAAGTTATGAAATTGAAATCACATATTCTCTTTTTGGAATTTAATTATTCAATAATAGTAGCAAGACCTTTACTTTTACTTAATACTATTTTCTTCTGAGAATCGGGTGACCGACCACTTTATCATATCGATAGTAAGCGGTCATACATACATATGATCGTCAACAGTGGCCATTTTGAAAATTTACACCGTATTATGAAATGGTAATGTATCTCTCACCTTTTTCGTATAACCGGATTGCATTACTATGCGGGCTCAATGTATTCATCAATACATTTAAATAAAATACTGTGAGGAAACATAAAGGATTCCATAAAAAATTTATGTAACGTAGAAATCATGTACAAACTAGTTGACATTACTTATTACTAAAAGTATAATTTAGTATTATTATATAAGAATTATCATGATCAATCACAGTCGTATTGATAAAAATTTACCAATTCATTAATGAAAAAGATATTGGAAACAATAATTAACAGTAATGAAATTTTTATATCGCGTTAGTGTTCGACATATCCGTGCTCAGACTTTTTCAATCGACTTTCAATTCATTCCACGTAGATCATCAAAGACTCACGTAGCAGTGCGTACTATAAACGTTTAACAATACACATCACATTAATGTTCGTAGAGACGTAAATGTCAATTTCATTGGCGGAAAAAGTAAAGTATATTGTACAACGTGC